ACGCAATACTGTTGCATGGGAATGCAAAAGAAAAAAAATCTCCCATGTCCCCTAGCGGGCTCCGTAATTTCTATTTAAATGGTACACAATAACAAAAAAACAAAAAAAACAAAAACGAAATTGCATGCCGTTGACCAACAATTAGCATAGATGCTAACATTATAAATACTAATTATTACTGTAAGTGATACACAAATCAAACGTATTGAATCGTTACTAATAAATCCAGATATTCTTCAGAGTTGGTGAGAAAAGATGTGCAGCTTTACTGCAATGTGTTTCTGCTGCAGCAGCTACGGTGTCTCTATTGGGACAAATGTCCCCTCACAGAAACTACTCTCTGTTAGTGACAGAACAGCCCYGTCCTAATGCAAGGTGTGATGTTTGCTGAGCCTGTTCTCTGCACATAGGTGGCATCGCCTTTAAATACGTGACCTACACTGAATGTTTGTACGAAGAGACAGAGACTTGCAGCTTTCAGCTTCATGCTCACTCTGCAGCTTCTGTTTAAATTTAGACAGATTTCTTTCTGAAAGCCCTCATCTCATCGCTGCTGTCTGTGCTGCTAATTCTGGTCGTCTTGCTTTTTATTTAACATCCTTTTCTTCCACGTTCCTCCTGTCCAGGAGTTCAGGCAGAAGGTGATGCTGGGAACGCCGTTTGTCGTCATCTGGCTCATCGGTTTCGTCGCCGACCTGGACGTCGACTCCTGGCTCATCAAGGGCGTCATGTACGCCGGCGTCTGGGTGGCTGTGCAGTTCCTCTCGAAGTATGTCTCAGGTGAAAAATACATAGAATAGAAGTGGAGTGAAGAGTTGCTAAATCAGTTTTACCTTTTTGTTTGTTCAGCATTATGACCCACACTCGCTCGTTTAAACTGTATTCTTTCTGTCAGTGGAGTCGTGCTCCTAACCAAGCTGAGTGATATCTGTTGTTTGGTTGTTTTTAACCAGGTTGACTTCAAAGGTTGACCACTTGTAGATGTACAATCATTACTTCCTGAGAGTTTTATAAAAACATAATTTGCGGGACCTCATTTTTGAAAATAAATGATTGTTGCAACCCTGTTGTCTCTCTCCACAGGGCTTTTTTCGACCACTCCATGCACAGCGCCCTGCCTCTCGGAATCTACCTAGCAACCAAGTTTTGGATGTACACCACCTGGTTTTATTGGTTCTGGAACGATATCCTTTCAGACCTGTGTTAGCAGCAGTGTGTTTAGTGGAAGGCTTGTTGTGAGCTGACAGGTAAGTATTTGTGCACACCAGTCGGGTAAAAATAATTTGGTTTGAGCCTGATGATGGATTTGCTTCTTGTTTGAGCTGCAGAGCTTTTCTCTGAGGTATTTGACAGCTGGAGGTTGTTCAGTTTGCTTTAACTCAAGTGTTTCTTGTCTCCGCCTGCACACAGATTAGTGCCTCTGTTGGTCTCATCTCAAATGAACCTGGACCTGGAATCTGATATTTTCTTTAACTAGAAGTTAATGAAGAAGATGTGCAGAGTTAAAACTGTGACCTCATCACAAAATGAAATATACCATAATGTGCATTTTAACTATATCCACACAGTGTTTATTTAACCACTTCTGATCTTGCTTCTTTAATAAAACTGTCAATAAAGAATTTTTGGCAGTTAAAATAATTGGGTTAATAAAGGTTTGAACAGAAGAAAAGTCATTTTRTCGTTCTCCTTGACTTCTCGGCACATCTGCCTTTTGCCACGGTCCATATCCCCTTCCTGGTCAACAGCCTGGCTTTGTTCTACAACTTTGGTAAATCCTGGAAGTCTGATCCAGGAATTATTAAAGCATCAGAGGAACAGAAGAAAAAGGTGAGAAGTTGGCTCACAAAAAAAAGGCAAAAGTTGTTTAAGAACAACTTTCCCCCCAATTTTTTTGTTTAAATTTTATTATTATTATTATTATTATGTTGCTTTTGTGAACAGAATGTGGGTTTAAGAGATTTGCAAAGTCGTCTGAGTTCTCTCAATTTCCAACAGGGAATTCCCATTCGAGGTGTGTTCCAGTTTAAATTTGCGACTTGTAAGTGGTTAAACTCCCACTTCCCAGTATAACTGGGCTGCTCAAAAGTAGACTTTTAGATAATACACTCAGAAACCTGCTGTGAAAAACAACTGTGATTCAGACCAGGTAAATTTGGTCTCCTATGGCTGGTTGTGAATGAAACCATAATAAATTGCTGTGAGTCTTTCTGCCGGTTCACAAAGACATCATTCAGCTCTAAATCCCAAGCTCAGCCTCTGTCAGCTCATTCGCCAAATACTTGAGTCACACTGAACATTATTTTCCCCCCTCCTTCAGACAATTGTGGAACTGGCAGAGACAGGCAGCCTGGATTTAAGCATATTCTGCAGCACCTGCTTGGTAAACCTCTCTTTGTAATCATTTTTTTATTCCATTTATACAGTAAAGGGAAAAAAAAGTTAATCCCAGTTTTTGTTCTGTAATAGATACGGAAGCCCATTCGCTCCAAACACTGCGCCGTGTGCAACCGCTGCATCGCTAAGTTCGACCACCACTGTCCCTGGGTGGGGAACTGCGTGGGTACGTCAGCCTCACAGCCACAACACACACACACACACACACACACACACACACACACAGCTCATAATTCACTCTGAACACTGACAGTCCCGTTTGGTTTCCTGTGAGTTCTGGTTAGCGCTGTATCAGATGGTGTAGATGGAATTTGCAAGATGCTACAAATAATTCCACAAACAACAACGGTTTTTAAAGCTCTACAGCTCAGAACATCTTCACAGGAACATGAGTCGGAATTGAAAACGAGTCACAAAATGAAAAGTTGAGACGACTGAACTGCAGTTTGTTTCCTGGGGTTTTGGAGATTTTAACTCAAAGTTTTGACATTTGAGATGAAAGCTTTGATTCGGTCTAAATTTTGCTAAATTGTTTGAAAACCAGGGTTAGTCAGTTGAGAACACGTTCACATTTTTGTTATGGGTAGGTAACATTTGGGGTCACTTGCCCAACAGAAAAAACAAAAAAACAACACGTCAAACCCTGAGGAGAAAGTGGGAAAGTGTTCAAAGTTTCTTCAGACATTTTYTAGTAAAGCTTCATTATTCTCTCAAGACCAAACATTTTGGTCAACTCGAGAAGTCCCTCAAGACCTGCTCCTATTGTTGCATCAGGTCTTAATGGGTTAAAGCAAACATCCTGGAAAAAATGAGCCAATCAGTGAGGACCAGCTGAACAAAGTGGAGACTGGAGGCAGAAACAAAAGCAAACGTCTGTAAAACCGACAGGAGACAGCAGGGGAAGGAAGAACCGCAGGATCTGTGAGCACTTCCTGTTTAAAAGCACGTGGGTCAGGATGAAACTTTTCGTGAGGAAACTGTCTGAACAAACATGAAGGCTCAGCTGTGCTCCTTAAAAATCTCTTCAACTCATATTTACAAGTGGTCAGATTGAGATGCACATCCTTTCGGTTTTCTTTATTGCTCCYTTTTCACAGTTTTTCTGGTTCAAGTGACTTTTTCTGTGGTTCMATCTCCCCAAAAAGCTGTGGAGTAGAGATTGACTGACACAAGTTTTTGAAGGCC